TTTTCCGCTATATTTTTAATGAACAACGCAGCAGCACCGCATTCAGCTGGATAGGTTAACAAAAACATTATAATGCAGCGACATCGCATCTCGCGCGCCGCTGATAAGGCTGTCTCCTTAACGCTGGTGGTGGTGGTGGTGGTGGAGGAGCAGGGGGAGCATTCTTCTTTGCCATATCAATGTGTGGTAACTTTGGAGATGACCATGGTGAACTCCAAGGGGAGCTGTAAGGAGAAGAGGTGGTCGTGCTCTTCTGAAGGGCGACTGTTCTTGGGTTTGTTGACATCGCTGCACCTCCTTGCTGGTGGCGCAGCTCCTGCATTCTCTTCTGTCTCTGGAGGTCTTGGTTGCGGGTAAGAATGGTCGTCATGCTTATACGAGGGCCAGGAAGGTCGAACTGGTAACCCAACTTTATCAGTGTGGTATTCTCCCTCAGTAACTTTACAATCTCCATTTCCACTTGACCTCCACAAATGTGCCTCTGATTGTGAAATCGCATTTCCGTAAGAGTACTGTTTCGGGTGAGGGCTTGCACCAGTGCCAGGATACCCTTCCCTGTAATGAAGTTGGACTCAATGTTAAGATTTGTGATGTTGCTGTTTTCTCTCAGCACCTTGGCAATGGCAAAAGCCACCTGGTCATCTGCATGTGTGTTGGCAAGGCTAAAAAAATGTACATGTGTGTTCGAACATAAGGCTTCTGCAAATCGGATAAGTGTGTCTTGGGAGATATTATCAGTGTTGTTGAGGTTGACCTCGGTGGCATCTGGGTCATTGGTGAGGATCTTTTCCAGAACCTCGTCCACCACAGTAGGGTTTCCTGACATGCGACTGGGCTCCTGAACTTTGACTTTTGGTTCACTCATCAGTGGAGAGTATCGTATTACAGGCTCTGCCTGTCTCTGATTGGACTGACCATTGGAAGACCAACACTGCTGTGGGTGAGTGGTACAATCCAATGTCGGTGCTATTTTAGGACAGTTCTCTTCTTTTTCTTCTTCCTCCTCCTCTTCCTCCTCATCTTCTTCCACATCCTCTTCTTCTGTTATCGGCTCCTCTGGTTCACTTTCCTCTTCTTGGTCTTGTTCAGCTTCCAGATATTTTTGTATGTCTTTCTCACGTTTTTCAGCCCCGTCTTTTTCATCCCCAGATTCTTCATTGTTGCTCTCAGTCATGCATTCCTCCTCTTCCCTGCTGTCTTCATCTTTCTGGAATCAACAAAGTCATTGTTAAAACAACATCGGTGCTGTTGTTCCTCTTTTATTATGAGATCTGGTGGCGTATTTCGAGAAGTGTTCGCCGTTTTGATTTCTCATTGCTTTTCGAAATACCCGTGGCGTCATTCCTTTACCCAGATTATGACGGTATGTAAACCATTTGTCTTTTTTGTGAAAGTTAACCAATCGTAACTGTTCAACAATTCAAATTAAAATCTTCAAATATAGCATATACTCTTCTTGAGTTGAAAGGGTTAGTTCACCCAAAAATGAAAATTCTGTTATTAATTACTCACCCTCATGTCGTTTCAAACCCGTAAGACCTTCGTTCATCTTCGGAACACAAATTAAGATATCTTTGATGGAATCTGAGAGCTGTCTGACCCTGCATAGACAGCAACGCAACTGAAATTTAGCTGCGCCACGCGGATACGCTGTTTTCGTTCAGATCAAATCACAACAACGTAGGAAACGGATCCGGCATGACGCAGCTGACACAGAACAGCATACGTTGTTTTACGTCCAGCGGATATTCTCCAAAATGTCACCAGGGTGATGTGGAGGAGACGAATTGTTGAATTAATTTCGTTTTTCTTTTGCACACAAAAAGTATTTTCGTAGTTTCGTATAATTGCGGCTGAACCTCTGATGTCACATGGATTATTTTACAGATCTCCTTGCTACGTTTCTGGACTTGGGAACATTTCAGTTGCGTTGCTGTCTATGCAGGGTCAGACAGATCTCAGATTCCATCAAAAATAATTTAATTTGTGTTCCTGAAGATGAACGAAGGTCTTACGGGTTTGAAATGACATGAGGGTAATTAATGACAGAATTTAAATTTTTGGGTGAACTAACCCTTTAAATCTCACACTCATAGCTTAACACTGGGGCAGCACCCTCAAATGGACTACCTTATTTACCCCTATAGTAGTACCATAAGAGTATACATATTACTACCCTAAGGGTACATATTCTTATTCTAAGGTACTAATATGCACCCTTTATAGGTAAATAAGAGACAAACGTGTCTCTTTATTGAGTACTACCCTATTGACAAGCTGTTGTACCCCAAAAAGCAAAATGTTTGCAAATGTTTTTCTGACAGTATAATTAGTGTTTGAGGTTGTTGATCACTCACCTGTCTAGGGCTTGTGGATCCGATCCTCTCCTCCTCCAACAGTTTTCGAGTCTCGTTTTCCCAGTATTTCATAAGAGCTTCCCTGCTGAATGTTCCAGTGCGTGTCTTAGCTGTCTGATCTCTCTGTCGCAGTCCAATGGGTAGGTTGTCGTCTGGGTCAATATCAGCCAACTCCTTCTCCAGCTCCTGGAGCTCCTCAGCAGTCAGCGAGGCCAACAGCTCATCTTCATCCAAATCCTCATACTTACTCAGTTCCCGCCTGTAGCCGAATGTACTCATGGCCTCTCGGTCGTCTTCTCAGAGTCTTAAAAGTCTTGGATTTGTCTCAGTATTGGTGCATCAGATCTTTCTGGGATCTGGCGTCTGGGATCTTTCGAGTGGTGTAAGCGAGATTGAGTGCTCATGTGCTGTGGTGGGCAGCTGGAAAGTGTCTTAAGAGCAGGATCAGAGAGACCTGATACAAAGCCCCAGCCCATGATGCCGATGCTTTTTTGGGAGGCAGGAGTCAATCAGCATGTGAACTCGCAACATGGTCACAGCGAGGCCTGTAAGTGAATGCTGACTGCATTGTTCATGTCCAAAATAAGCAGATAGACTCTGAGGAGATGGCTAGAGAAATGGTAATGTCGTTATTTGCAGCAAGGTGGTATGTACTTGAATCTGAAATGCTTAAATAGGAAAATCTATTCTAAATTGCTCTGTATGTAGTTACTTGTGTTATAATGGTGCATTAAATGAAATCACAACTAGCTACTGCCAGTAGCCCTGCTACTGGTACAATTTAGTGTTGTTGACAAATGTTATCATCAATTTATTTTGTATGTTTAGAATTTGACTACCCAGAATACTCTTAGGTGATTTTAGGTGTCTTAAGAGCAGGATCAGAGAGACCTGATACAAAGCCCCAGCCCATGATGCCGATGCTTTTTTGGGAGGCAGGAGTCAATCAGCATGTGAACTCGCAACATGGTCACAGTGAGGCCTGTAAGTGAATGCTGACTGCATTGTTCATGTCCAAAATAAGCAGATAGACTCTGAGGAGATGGCTAGAGAAATGGTAATGTCGTTATTTGCAGCAAGGTGGTATGTACTTGAATCTGAAATGCTTAAATAGGAAAATCTATTCTAAATTGCTCTGTATGTAGTTACTTGTGTTATAATGGTGCATTAAATGAAATCACAACTAGCTACTGCCAGTAGCCCTGCTACTGGTACAATTTAGTGTTGTTGACAAATATTATCATCAATTTATTTTGTATGTTTAGAATTTGACTACCCAGAATACTCTTAGGTGATTTTAGTTTTTTTTTTTAGAGCTAAAGTAACACGTCACAGGCTGTGAGGGGCAGATTATCCAAAGAACTGTTATCAGCCTGGCATGAACCATTGTGAGGATTTAAATAAATCCTCTTCTCTCTCTTAGCCTTTTACTGGTTTTGTCTCGCTTTTGATGTCATCATCAGGATTAAAATTTGCTTTATTATTGTATTTATCAAAAATTTTAAATTTAGTGAATCTAAAGAGACTAAAGGTTAATATGGTGTGGATATGAATGGATTTTGAAGTCTGCATGCTGTCAGGTCAGGCCTGTGTGTGTAATGATCAGATTTGGTCTTATGTGAACACTCGGATAAGCTGTTTGTTGTCCCATAGGATCCAAACAACCACGTAAGGCTAGGATCTGTGTTTATGACAGGAACACAATGTCTGCTGCATCTCTGCAGACGCTGACTGGCGTTGACAGTGCAGGAATGTTGTTGGTCTGATAACAAGTGCCTCTAGCAACAACCGCTTCCACAAAATCCAGTGTTTTTGGACTGGGGTCATGATCAGTGTAGGTGAAGTTTGAAATGTATGTCAAATTGTTATGGTTTAAAAAGTAATGCAATGTGATAAGAATACAATGTCGGTCAAAATGTTTCCAAAGTAGACTAGGTATTTATGTAGCATATACTGTATATTTACACACTGCAGACTGTTTAGAGTAAATTTTAGGAAACCTGTCAGGATCATGTCCAGGTCAAGTTTCGCTCCAAAATTGAAAAAAGGTGCATATGCATAAAACAATTATTTTCTTTCTATTTATTTTTCATTTGGTTTTAAGGTGAAATGTGACCTGGACATGCTCTTGATATGTTTTGTGAGCATTAACATATGAAAATTATATAATCATGGTAATATTGTTTATAAACAAATATCTTTACATTATCACAAAATAACACTGTTACAATTGGTTTCACTCGTATAAATAAATTGGAATAAAATACATGCACTGTAAAACCCAGAAAGTTACAGTAACTCAAACTGTTTGAGGAAACCGATTGCCTTAAACCATTTGTTTTAAAACAAATAAATGAGTACTGTAAACTCATATACATTAAAGGGATAGTTCACCCAAAAATTTTAAGGGCATCCAAGATGTAGGTGACTTTGTTTCTTCAGTAGAGCACAAACGAAGATTTTTAACACAAACCGTTGCAGTCTGTCAGTCATATAATGGAGGTGAATAGGAATCACGGCTTTGAGAGTAAAATAAAAACATACACAAACAAAACCAAATTAAACCCTGCGGCTCGTGACGATACCTTGATGTGTAAAGACACAAAACGATCGGTCTATGCAAGAAACTGAACAGTATTTATATCGTTTTTACTTCTGATTCACGCAATGGCCGAACTGTTCCAACTGTCCTGCCACCTATCTCTCAAGTGGACCATTGACACTCCTAATTGAGATTGTAGATAGAGTGTCAATGGTCCATTTGAGAGACATAGGTGGCGGTAATGCACTTATAAGTCTGTGATCCGCCGTAAAGCAAGAAGACGACGACGACGCCTCATGCGCCTGCTGTTGAGAACTCGCTCAGGAGGATGCGCTGCCGCTTAGGACCGTTCGGACATTGCGTGAATCAGAGGTAAAAAAATATATAAATACTGTTCAGTTTCTTGCACAGACCGATCATTTTGTGTCTTTACACATCAATGTATCGTTAATTTGGTTTTGTTTGTGTATGTTTTTTTTACTCTCAAAGCAGTGATTCCCATTCACCTCCATTATATGACTGACAGACTGCAACGGTTTGTGTTAAAAATCTTCGTTTGTGTTCTACTGAAGAAACAAAGTCACCTACATCTTGGATGCCCTGGGGGTAAGCAGATAAACATCA